TTAAAAGAGAAGTTTACATAGTTGGTGAAATATTTTTCGAAGATATCTCATGATCTACCAAGCCGATTTTGACGATTCAACTACTATTAGATTCGTCTAGAGGCCCAAAGGTGATTAACTTAGTATGAAAAAAGTTTTAGATAGAAGCAGCTCACATTTCAAAAACCCTAATTTCTATATATAAACCATGTTATATTACACTATGAGCTCTCTCTGGTTGAGTGGCGAATCACTAATTAATATTCTTCATCTTTAAGTCAACTCTTGATTCTATTGGCCAAATTATAACCAATAGATATAGTATAACATTTGTACTCAAAAAATGGTTTTGGATAATTTGGAAGAATTATTTTAAAAGGAGTCAATAGATCTTTCTATTTAGCATCTAATGCTAAAAGATATATTCTTATAAATCTTTTGTTATCAAAATATTTTGTAGGTTCATTCCATAATATTGGTACAATAAGTCTACACCATTGATAGTTTACAAAAAGACACAAATAAGGTTTTATAATTAGTTTGAAAATTAACATTATTATAATAAGGTCCAAAGTTATTAAATATTTCAATAAAGCAGTTGTTCAATTACATCATTTTGAGAGAACTATGATTTTAGTATAACAATAAAAATCAGATTTACCTTCTTTATATATTGATATAACCAATGTAAAACATATCTAAATCACCTTAACACATACGTACGTATGACGTATCAAATACATGATGAAAATTTATTTTAATCTGTAGTTGTTTACACGAGTCTCAAAAAATTAGCAGTCAATGAATATGCCATATCGAGTGATAAATTATTCTGTAATAATTATTATTTTAATCTTTAAACTCACATTAGTTTCAACGTATAAATTAAATTGCTTTCAAATTCTAGGTGAAAATAGTAGAATAAAGCTATTAGAATAACATGCTTTTTAGATTTGTATAAAGATTTTTTTAGTGTATACAGGTTTTTGAGGTAATCTTCAAAATCAAAAAAAAAACCAATTGTTTCTTGTTTTTTATTGGAAGCAACAGAAATCATTCCGGCAAGTAAATAAGTAAATGCAGAAAAATGTAACTTGTTGGCTGACGCTGTCCATATTAGCAAACATGAAGATATCTTTCCATATCAAAGAATTTGAGTTAATCGGAAACAGCAGAAATCATTCCGGCAAGTAAATAAGCAAATGCAGAAAAATGTATCTTGTTGGCTGACGCAATCCATATCAGCAAACACAAAGGTATGATCGTTTCTATATTTCAACAAAGAATTTGAGAATTTGACTCTCTACAATTGACCTTATTAGAGAAATTTCTAATGAACTTTAAGTCGAGAAGTTGCTCAAAAAAAAAAAAAACCAATTTGATTAATTTGGTTAGATCAGCTAACATAATTGATTTAACTAATTTTGTTGACTTAGTTAATTCAATTTATCTGAATTAATCGAAATATTCCGGTTGACTTGATTGGCTCAATTGACTTGGTTAACTCTGTTAACTCGGCTGGCTTGGTTCAGTTGGGCTATTGTCTCATGATTTATAATAATAGTTGTAGGTTAATCGATTGATGATTTAATACCTGGTTTAAATCATTAGGCATGCTAACTCGTTTAACCAATAAGTGCAACACATAGTAAAGCTAATCGGACTTATGATAACATAGGAAAAATGAACAAAGAAATGCCACTTCTCTCCTTGAACATTCATGCGACAGAACTCCGTTGCATGATTATGCATTGATTTTTTAATTTATGTCATAATATATATTTTGTTAAAATGTATTGGCAGCATTTCTCAACTTATTTTTTTTTGTTTGCGTTTAATATAAAGAGTAAAGCCTCAAATTTAAAGTGTATATTGGTATTGGATATAAATGTGGGTACAATAAATTACGTCAGAATCATGCGCATAGTTAAAATTTCTTTTTATAATATCCAAACTCTATTCATAGTGCGTACAAACTCACGTATTACTATTATAACTATCAATTTACAATTGGAAATAAATATATATTAAATACTTTCCCTGAATAAGTTAACACTTCACCGTTAGGGTACTTCTATATAATGATAGCGATAGCTGATATATCTGTACTTAACTATAAATCTTATATTATCAGAATAATATTTATATTATCACTATTATTTTCATTTGAAGAAACTCTTCCTCCTCCCTGTTACCTTTTATATATTAGGTAGGTATCAAATGATTAACGATCATGCATTAAAAGAGATTTAAAGCTGTCTTAAAGTGGCATTGGGAATTTTTGTTTGCTCTCTCAAAAACATCAGCTAATCATATCAGTAAAGATGGTTTCTCGCCAGATTAAACTTACAGTTTCCTACCTTTCGATCCTTCTAATATCATGCGTTACTGGTACTCAATATCTTTTCTCAGCATACAGTACCAAAATACAAGAAAGGTTAGGTTTTAGTTCTGTACAAATAAACACTATTGGAAGTGCTTGTAATTATGGAGTATTTCTGAGTAAACCATTTCTCGGCTATTTTGCTGACAAATATGGTGCTAGAAGGTTTGTTTTTTTTCTCTTCAAATTTATGCAATTTATTTATCATATAAAACATTAATTAATTATCCTAA